GCGAAAGAGAAAGAGAGAGAGAGCAAGAGAACGAGAGAGAGCGAGAGCGCGGAGCACGAATAAAGATTCTTGAGGACGGAACCAGTCAGCCATAGCTCTGGATTAAAGGAAGGTAGGCAATCTAGCAGAGATCGGTGCGGAAAATTGGCAAGAAGGGCACGCAACAAACACCTTTTAGGAATCGTTCCTGAAGTTCTTGAATAGAATTAGAGCTTTTCTGGCCTTGCCTCTAACTTTCCTTTGCCTCCCGACAACTTTCAATTACCCGAAACGAGTTCCCGGATAGCCGGCAAGTTGCGTTACGTTTTATTAGTCGCGCGGGTGCTGTCGACGCAAAGCGGCAAAAATACTTGCTTCGAGCTTGACGGGAAAAGCTGTCCTGCGCATAGGCGCACCTCGTAGGCGGACATTAATTGGAAATGCGCAAATTGCCGCCGCCGTAAAAGGGTTTTCTGCGTCTAGGCCTTGATATTCTAACACATTTGGATGCGGGCCAAATGGTTGCATGAGAATGAGAGAAAGAGAGAGAGAGAGAGAGAGAGAGGGGGGGGGAGAGAGAAAGAGAGTGAGCAACAGAGAGACTGAGAGAGACAGAGCGAGAGTGAGACAAGGAGTGAGAGAGAGAGAGCGAGAGTGTGAGAATCCAAAAGTTTGCCAAACGTAAATGGCACTATCCTTTAAACGTTCCGAAATTCTAGTATGGCTGAGTCAGCAGGCTAGAGAGTATATCCTGGCGAGAGAGAGAGAGAGAAAAAGAGAAAGAGGGTAACGAATTCAGACCGATTACGAAATCCAGGAACTACTTGTTTTCTGTTTTGCTCCCGACAACCTCCCGTGGGCGGAAATTGCGTCTAGGAGATTGGTGAGTCACAAAAAAACCCTGAAGCAATCAGGGACTAGCTAGAAGTCGTAATTTTCAAGGGACCTGGAAGGCACGGCTATGGATTTTGCTGGCTATGGATAGCTTACGGCTTCTGGGTCGCAACACGCAACGCGCTCGTCGGTTTAGCGCAGTAAACGCAAGCGAAAAAGTCCTGCCCGGCTACCGTTGTGACATCATAATCGATTACGCACTTTAAAGGTTGGGGCCTGCGTTGCGGTTTCAGTTTGCCAAAATTGTATTTTGCTAGGTTTAAATGCGCTGAAATTTCAATTTGCGAAATGTTTGAGATGATAAACGGGGCAAAAAAGCGAAATTGCGGAAAAAATGACGCCAAGATTTTTTTCGACGAAATGAAGATAAGCCGGCTTGGCCAGGCTAGGCTTGCGGCGAATCCATAGCCAAGAAAGTTGTATTCATGTCTTTTCCGTCTTGTTAGAGGGATGGGGCAGGAAAATGAGGTCTTCAGGGTACGCCTGACCTGCCAAAAAGCTGTTTTAGACATTTTTAAGGGCCAGAAAGCCTTGTGAAGTGAATGACCTGGTATACAGTAAAATCTAGACGAAGCTTGGACGCCAAAAGTCAACCCAAGCTCTATATGCTTCAAAAATGACCCCGAGGTGGGCCCTAGAGGGCCCCGAGAGGGGGCCAGGGGGCGTTCCCCGGGCCAGAAAGGCTAGAAAACGGGGGTCCATTTCGAAAGAGGGAGTACGGTGGGTGGGGAAGAAGTGACGGGACGCCGTGGGGCACTCTTCTACCCCTTCACCCCACCCCACAACCCCCCATTGCAATGCATTATTTGTGGATGGAGTGTGGATGGGTTGGGTTGGCGGGGGTTGGGTTGGGCTGGGTGGGTGATGATGTTGATGGTGATGTTCGTCTGGATCAGAAGTTCTGGCAGTGCCAAAAGTGGGTTGTGGTTTATGAGGGGCGGTAAAGGGCCGGGTAAGGAGTGACGCACCACCAAGAGGGATTTTTCTGCTTTTGTCGGGGTCAGCACCAACGCTATCTTGTGCAGTATTTTATGCTGATTTCGAATGTGTTCATGAAGTTGCGAAATAGCTATTTTGCTAGAGTCATAAATCACTTGAATCAGAACAACCGAAAGCGGCTCATTTTGGGCGTTTCTCGGGCTTAGCTCATTCCTGACTTTCCAAAAAAAAAAAGCGCGAATTTACAAATTTGCTAAGTATCTTAGGAACCAGCGTAAAATACTGCACAAGGTGGGCTTGGTTCCAACTTGAAGCTCGGCGGCACTAATAAACGATGCCTGATTCCCGATTCCTGATGTAAGGCGTGCTAGCAGAGATCGTTTACGAAATTTTTACTGCGTTAAGCGGACCTCGCTGGGACTCCAGGTGACGTCGATGGCCTTCTGGCTCGGCGACGATCCGAATCAACGTTACCAGGAACGGAAGGCGTCTAGAAAAAGCCGGAGACTCAAGAAATTAGCCTTGATGTCTTCGAACGATTTACTTATCATCTGAATACTAGCTTTTTTCTGGTTTAAATCGGGCGACACCAACCAGGATTTGGCTCTATTCGGTCTACCGTATTTTGCGCTGCATGGTTAAACCATTTATAGCCTATTAAGCAAAGTTTTTGCAACTGGCTTCCAAGTGTCTGAAAGAAGGACAGGCGATAACAACTTTCAAGACACCACCCTCGCTATGTTCTTTCCCTTGGTATTTTTCTAGTTCGGATTTCAACATCGAGGGATTATTACGATTTCACTGCCAAGAAGGCCAAGCCCTTTTCAGTGGCATTATTTACCTGGTGTGCCACCTGAGCTTGCGTAATTCGGGCGTAATTCGAGACGATTGGAATGGGTAGCCCACGGAATATTGGTCTTCAGTAAAGAGGAATCAAATAATCTCTCTCTCTCTCTCTCTCTCTCTCTCTCTCTCTCTCTTTCTCTCTATCTCTCTCTCCCTCTCTCTTTCTCCCTCTCTCTCTCTCTGCTCTCTCTCTCCTTGTCTCTCTCGCTCTCTCGTTCCCTATCACGCTTTCTATCTCTCCCTCACTCTCTCTCCCTAACTAGTACGAAATCCACCTAAAACCGGATCCAATTTCAAAGCACCCGAAATTTAGGGGCCAGACGCAATTCGGGAATTGACCATCAGATTGGGGGTTGTGCCTGGAGTAGAGGAACGACCAGTAAAAGGCAGCTTGACGTAGCCTAGTAATTCCTTTAATTCTGTTTTCAGTTCTTGCAGCGCAAGTCTTCTTCGCCCATCTGCAAATATCTGACTTTTTCTAAAAAAAAAATAGGATAATTCCCATCTGGATGTGGAAGCCGTCAAATGCAGAAACTTCCAGAGGGCAGAGAGAGAGCGAGAGAGACGGAGAGCGAAACCTTTCAGATGTTGATCTTCGAGCCACTGACGTGATCGTGCACATTCTGGGATTTGGCGGGTCAGGGTCGTCGGGGAATACGAAAAAAGGTTGCGCCGCGGCCTATGCAAAAGTTTTGTGCATTCGGGACGGGCTTCGGCAAAAAGAAGGTTATAAATCCGGACTGGGAATATCGAATGATCTTTACTAGCCTGCCCCTTCCATTCCCAAATGATCTCTGCTAGCCTGCCCCTTCCATTCCCAAATGATCTCTGCTAGCCTGCCCCTTCCATTCCCAAATGATCTCTGCTAGCCTGCCCCTTCCATTCCCAAATGATCTCTGCTAGCCTGCCCCTTCCATTCCCAAATGATCTCTGCTAGCCTGCCCCTTCCATTCCCAAATGATCTCTGCTAGCCTGCCCCTTCCATTCCCAAATGATCTCTGCTATCCTGCCCCTTCCATTCCCAAATGATCTCTGCTAGCCTGCCCCTTCCATTCCCAAATGATCTCTGCTAGCCTGCCCCTTCCATTCCCAAATGATCTCTGCTAGCCTGCCCCTTCCATTCCCAAATGATCTCTGCTAGCCTGCCCCTTCCATTCCCAAATGATCTCTGCTAGACTGCCCCTTCCATTCCCAAATGATCTCTGCTAGCCTGCCCCTTCCATTCCCAAATGATCTCTGCTAGCCTGCCCCTTCCATTCCCAAATGATCTCTGCTAGCCTGCCCCTTCCATTCCCAAATGATCTCTGCTAGCCTGCCCCTTCCATTCCCAAATGATCTCTGCTAGCCTGCCCCTTCCATTCCCAAATGATCTCTGCTAGCCTGCCCCTTCCATTCCCAAATGATCTCTGCTAGCCTGCCCCTTCCATTCCCAAATGATCTCTGCTAGCCTGCCCCTTCCATTCCCAAATGATCTCTGCTAGCCTGCCCCTTCCATTCCCAAATGATCTCTGCTAGCCTGCCCCTTCCATTCCCAAATGATCTCTGCTAGCCTGCCCCTTCCATTCCCAAATGATCTCTGCTAGCCTGCCCCTTCCATTCCCAAATGATCTCTGCTAGCCTGCCCCTTCCATTCCCAAATGATCTCTGCTAGCCTAGCTGCTACATCAGACCAAAAACACCCGAAAATAACCTGGGAGACTGAGAAATCCGTTCTAGGATCTGTGAATCAAAAAGTCGAAAATATTTTCCACTACGCTATTTCCAGCACGGCGAACCCCTCGGCGTCACTCGATCCGTGAAATTTGGGGGTCTGGCTGGTGGCTGAGCACTTTTCCCAGAAGAACGACTTCTGCCTTGCACTTGGCGTCAGTTCAACCATAAATTCGAGCAACGAGAACCCGTAGTTTGGTGCGACCCGTAATTTGCGAACGGGGCACTTCGGCTATAGTGATTTTGGTTAGCTGGTTACGGTAGCTTAAAGGTACGAAAGATTCCTCAAAAAAAGCGTGAAAACCGGCGAAAAAATGCTTTTCGATCAGCTAGGCTTAACAAATGAAAAGCGCTTTTTGTGGTTGTAAATGGACAGCAACATCCAAAATCGCTATTTGTCCAGTAGAATATTTTGTGATGAATTTTTAAGCGTTTTCAAGATAAATTGATGTAAGTTCAGTTACAAAAATCCGAAAATTTAGATTTAAACCCTTTCTTTATCAATTCTATCGCATCGATAAATGCATGACTTTTTCGGGGGCGTACAAATGAGCATAAATAGTAAATAGAGAAGAAATACTGGGTGGGCAGTGAGAGCGCGGAGATCACAAAGCGGATTTGCTGGTTTTTTACAGATCTCCCTTGATGTTCGGATTTCTCGGGTTCTCCAGGTAGTTGTAGAAGCACGTGCGGATCTTGTTGAAGTCGGCGAGGCAGACCTGAGATTGACTTTTTCTTTATCTCTTTCTCTCTCTCTCTCTCTCTCTTTCCTGTGCTCTCGGAATTAGCATACCATATATTTTACAGGATCTGAAGGCACTCCGTGCGTCGTCTCGCAATATACCATACAGTGAGGCGACACCTAAATCGATTTTGAACGAACGCGATAAGAAATAAAGGGAAACGAGATGTATATACGTTGCTCTATCTACCGTAACCCACCCCAGATGCCCTGCAACATTCCGAGTGATCAGCTCGACTGGATGCGCAATCCCACATCATCCCGACGGTTGGGCCCTTCGGCACGCATTCGGCCAGGTAGCCGAGGACCTAAAATTGGTCGAAAAGTAAAGGCTAGCAGAGATCATTTGGGAATGGAAGGGGCAGGCTATCAGAGATCATTTGGGAATGGAAGGGGCAGGCTGGCAGAGATCATTTGGGAATGGAAGGGGCAGGCTAGCGGAGATCATTTGGGAATGGAAGGGGCAGGCTATCAGAGATCATTTGGGAATGGAAGGGGCAGGCTGGCAGAGATCATTTGGGAATGGAAGGGGCAGGCTAGCAGAGATCATTTGGGAATGGAAGGGGCAGGCTATCAGAGATCATTTGGGAATGGAAGGGGCAGGCTCGCAGAGATCATTTGGGAATGGAAGGGCCATTTGGGAGGCAAGATCCAAAAGTACCTAAAAGGTCAAATTCTGACTGACCGACTGCGGCGCCAAGGCATTGAAGTCGCAGTACTTCCGTCTGCATTCCCGATCGGCCTGTTTCAGCTTACGGCAGCAAGTACGAAGCTTTTGATTAGCATTTCTTCGTCCGGGGATTCCATAGCTAAACGATACTGCTATCTTCCTTGAAAGTTGCCATAAGCTTAAGCCTAAGTCTAAGCCTAAGCCTAAGCTAGGCCTAAGCCAAGCCCAAACCAATCCTAAGTTGCAACTCACATCTGCTGCTCCCTTCCTCTCGCCTCAGCGACACCTCCAAACTGCTGATTCTGAAGGAATGACTGTTGGGGGAATTGGGAGAATTGCTGCTGTTGGAATTGTTGTTGTGAGTCGAAGCCACTCTGGGGAAGCTGTTGTTGATGGGCAAAGCCGGGCTGAGGTCGCGTGAAGCCACCCTGCTGCGGTTGCTGCCATTGTTGAGGTTGAGAGGAGGCAGCCGAAGCCGAAGAAGCCGATGAAGCCGCTGCAGATTGGCCCCAGGCCGACGTTGAAGCTGCCGACTGGAATCACGGCAATGTCACCACAAAAAAGCTACAAAATAGCTTAAAGATATTAAGGAGCAAGGCAATCGACCCTTTGCGTCGACTAGGTCTACCAACTACGCGGCGGACCAAAAGACAGTTCAATCTCATGGAAATCCACTTTAAAAATCAGGTCGCAGCAAAAATCTTCTGAATCGCGGGTTACGTAACGGAATTTGGTGTGTCGCGTAGCTGTCTAGACCTTGTCGTGAGAAAGGGTCGATTCTGACGCTTCAGGGGCCCTTTAGAAGTCTTTTGCCTGCCTTAAAAGATCGTATTTTTGCTAAAATTCGCAAAAACTTTAAAAATCAGCTTGTCTTTTTCTCTTCGTAGCATTTTGTCGAAAAATCTACGTTTTGAGGATCGAACTATGTATAGATAGATTTTCCTATATCGTTTCGTCACTTCAAAACAACTGAGAATAAACAAAAAAATAAAACAAAAAGCAGTAAATATAGCAGCTTCAACGTAGTGCAAATCGAACGAAAATATGTACGGTAATGAATGCAAGCATTTTTTAAGCTAGAAACTTAAAATATAGGCAAACTTTGAGAGAAACTGAAGCTAAGCCTGAAAAACTAAGCAAGCTAGGCCGCAACTTACTCTCCGCATCATTCTATTCCGCCTATTCTGGGCTTGGCGCCGCCTCTAGAAGGCCGGATAACATGCATTAGTGGAAAGGAGAGGCTAATTTGCATGCAAATATTCGCATGCCTCTCTCTCGCCCTTGCTCTCTCTCACTCTCTCTCGCTCTATCGCCTTTGCTCTCTCTCTAGCTTTCTGTGTGTCTCTCTTTCTGTCTCTCTCGCCCTATATACCTGTTGAAGTTGTTGCTGCTGCCCTGCTTGCTGTTGTTGGAAAGGATTCCAATTATTCCCAAAACCTCCGAATTGGCCCCACTGTGGCCATTGGGCCATTCCGACGGCAAAAATAACAGCCAGTAAGGGTATCCACAGATAGCCCATCCTGAAAATAAGCAAAAGCATGATTGAAACAGTGAAAATCGGAGAAAATTCGAGTAAAGCGTGATTACGTACCAAAAAAAAAAACAAATTTGAAATTTTAAAGGAGCTGGAGAGTGCGAGAATCTGTAGCTTTCATAAGTTGAGTCTGAAAGCCTACAAGCACGCCAAATGACGGGTTGCTCTCATTTTTACCACAAGGGGGATTTTTATTTTTGTAATCTGAATTAATCATTTTTATTTTTATTTCCATTTTAAGTTTTAATTTCTGTCTATCTCTTTTTTTGGGGAAGTGTCTAGACCTAGCTTATATATTGGGTCGATTTTGGCATTTCACGATCGAATAGCAGCTTTAAAGAAACAGTGACCAAAAACAGCAAATTTCCGACGCCCGGCTGAACCTAATTTGCATACCAACACCCCCCGATGAAACCCATATAACAGGCCCACTGGGTTGGTATGCAAATCAGGTTCGACGCCTGGCCAGGTGAAAGTCCCAAATATGGAAAGCGAGTCCCTGGGAGGTGAAAAAAGTGAGCAGGTCGAGCCCGGGCGAGCATGAAGTATGACCGGGATAGGGAGGGAAGGGAGGGTGAGGTGGTTCCGGTCGAGTAGTAGAGTAGAGGATGAGGAGGAAGAGGGGAACCAGTCCACCCCAGTCAACCCCAGCCGAAATTCTACTCGAATTTCGGCTGATTCCAGATCAATACGGTGCCTGGCACCGAAAATGGGCTAAGTTTGGTATCCAGAAAAGCCGGAGACTTTAAAGTATGCTACAAGTGGACAAAAAACTAACAATAATTTTGTTTCCCTAAAATTCCTCAAATAATCTCTGCTAGCCTGCCCCTTCCATTCCCAAATGATCTCTGCTAGCCTGCCCCTTCCATTCCCAAATGATCTCTGCTAGCCTGCCCCTTCCATTCCCAAATGATCTCTGCTAGCCTGCCCCTTCCATTCCCAAATGATCTCTGCTAGCCTGCCCCTTCCATTCCCAAATGATCTCTGCTAGCCTGCCCCTTCCATTCCCAAATGATCTCTGCTAGCCTGCCCCTTCCATTCCCAAATGATCTCTGCTAGCCTGCCCCTTCCATTCCCAAATGATCTCTGCTAGCCTGCCCCTTCCATTCCCAAATGATCTCTGCTAGCCTGCCCCTTCCATTCCCAAATGATCTCTGCTAGCCTGCCCCTTCCATTCCCAAATGATCTCTGCTAGCCTGCCCCTTCCATTCCCAAATGATCTCTGCTAGCCTGCCCCTTCCATTCCCAAATGATCTCTGCTAGCCTGCCCCTTCCATTCCCAAATGATCTCTGCTAGCCTGCCCCTTCCATTCCCAAATGATCTCTGCTAGCCTGCCCCTTCCATTCCCAAATGATCTCTGCTAGCCTGCCCCTTCCATTCCCAAATGATCTCTGCTAGCCTGCCCCTTCCATTCCCAAATGATCTCTGCTAGCCTGCCCCTTCCATTCCCAAATGATCTCTGCTAGCCTGCCCCTTCCATTCCTAAATGATCTCTGCTAGCCTGCCCCTTCCGTTCCCAAATGATCTCTGCTAGCTTGCGGCGAAAAAAGAAGGATACAAATAGTCTTAAAATCTGGAAAGTGCATACCAACGCCCCGGGGGAAAGCGCCATTCAATAGATAGCAATGGGTATGGATGGCATGGAAGGGTTGGATGGGCTAAAAGGGACCGGATCCCATCCAGGCTTTTCATGGCTCAACAACCCGGATCACAGCAGAAAAGGCTCTCTATCGTCTGGATCGCATTATCACACTCGCTGCGTGGTGGCATCCAAAAAATAGGGACAGTGGGAGGGAATTTAATTTTTTTCGCAAGCGGCCGGTGGGGAACGGTAGCTTTATTATCACGTTAGAAACTCCCTTTATAGGTGTTCAGCCGTTAAAGGATTGCAAAAAAACAAGAATCGGGCGGGAAATCCCACTTTTTCTACCGTGCGACTACTCCACTACAGTACGCAAAAGCCAGAAATCGTAACGTAATGTGGGTAACTTAAAATGGCATTTTTAACGATTGAACGGAAAGGTTAAGCAAGGGCATGACTTTGATCAGGCTCTTCGCGACGAGCCGAAACATGGAAAACGTTCAATTCAGATTCACGTCAAAATCCCGCGCCACTTAGTGCCATATACAACCCGCGATGCCCCTCCGATCAGCAGGGTTGAGCCCCCCGGGGCAGCACGTCTCACTTTCCCCCCAGCCACCGAGGAAGAACTTAGCCTTCCGGTTTCTCGCCACAATTTTTGAGCGATTATGCCGTGCGTGGTAGGTGGTTCTTTCGTGTTTTTGTACACTGAAACCCGGGGGTCGAAGGCCGTTCAGGGGTCGGCCGATGTTTCTTTGATGTGATACTAAAAGTACGGTGGGATTTGATGTTTTCTCACCAAGGTTTCGACTTTCAGGGTTCTTTAAAAACAGCGGGAAAACGCGAAAATCGACCTAATCTTTGGACTAGGTCTAGACAGCTGCGCAATACACCAAAATACGCAAAAAATGCGCTTGTGAACTAAAAGCAAAATCGCCCAAAATTGAATACTGCCTATTGTCGAGACCTAGTGTCGTGGGGGTCGATCTTACAATCAGCGATTCTAAAGAGATGGTCCCTGATGTTAGGAGCAAGAGAAAGAGAGAGAGACAGAGAGAGAGAGAAAGAGAGAAAAAGACAGACAGAGAGAGAGAGAGAGAGAGTGAGAGAGAGAGCGAGAGAGAGAGAGAGGGAGAGCAAGAGAAAGAAGGCGAGAGAGTAGAAGTAGCTCCGAGTTTCGGCCTTTTTAAGCCTACAGATGACGATATCCAGCAATCCAGCCAAAATATATAGCTCCAGAAAATAGCCGTATTTTGTAAAAACCCCATTGAATGGGAAAACCACAAAAACTCGTTAAAAATCTCCTTAAAAATGGCGCCAAACTCCGATGCTCCTCCTTCATTTGCTTGTACACAAAATGGCATTGTCAACAACGGGAACTTGTGAGTCAGCCGATTCCTTTGTCCTGCATCTTCCCAGCCATCCAATTTTGCCCCAAGGGCATGGCCGGCGTGCTGACCGCAAGAAATTTCCGTTGAACTTGTACGCGCCGCTCCGCCGGATACGATGATAAGTTCGGGGCCTTGAACTCTTTACAACAAGGTGTTTTTTTGGGCTTAAAGGGAATGGAAGTCGAGCTCGATGCTGGGTCAAAGTCCTTTGAGTTCGAGCTTCTTCGAGACATTTTTGGGTTTTAAGGAACGGTGAAGGCAGGGAGCCGAAGATGGCTATCTTTAGAAGCCATTTGAACATTTTAAATGGGCTCGGAAGCGCAGGTTCGACGCCATCTATGGCCTAGGTCTCGACAGTTGCGCGACGCTTGATTTTTACTCTATTTAATATTCTTCTTTGTTAGAGGCTAAAGTTTTTTTACTTAATTTATTTTTAGAAACCATGATTGATTCTGAAAGCCTTAAAGGCACCGGTAAGCGCGAGAATCAACCTCCCAATTGACTAGGTCTCGACAACAACGCCAGGTCACCAAAGACCCTTGTTGTCTCAGATTGATTTTTTATAAACTGAATTTTAATCGTTTTTACCTTGTTTCTTAAAAGCCATAAAAAGAATTCGAACGTTTTAAAGGGACTAGCAAGCGCGAAAGCCTACCCTCCTAGCGACTAGGTCTCGACAGATCCACTACGCCTGCTTTTAACGATAAAACATGCTATTTTGAAAAGGCAGCAACGTATCTCAAAGCCTGAAAGTAGCCGTAAGCACAAGAACCTACCCCCTAAGGACTAGGCCTCGACAGCTAACCCAGACTCCAAATACACTTGTTCGCCTCATTTAGATTGTTGCTGCAAGTTAACAAGTGGCTTGTATTGCCATAAAAAACGTCATTTGGCCTCCCGTGTAGCTGTTCAAGACCATCGAAGCGAACAGCGTCGTTTGGCTCGCTTCCTGGTGCCTTTAATTCGATGTAGATTTCGTTGTCTGCAAAATCTCGCGCTCAAAGCCTTGCAGCATCAATGTACACATCCATACACAATGTTCGTCGTTTTTTCTCATCGTTCTTTTCAAATTTGGGCCTTTCTTTTCAATTTATTCAAAAACCCGAGCAGGTCTCGAGGTTGACTACATTGTCTGGATTATAAAGGTTTCCCGGTATCTCAAAAAAGCCAATGAAATCCGGGCAGGTAGCGGAAAATCCGAGGGGCGATTAGGATTAGGGGGAGGGGTCATCCGGATCGCCAGGGGGCCGGCCCCCACTTTTTGGCGATTATTACCTGCTCAGCAGAAAACACTTAGAAGGGCGGAAGTGTATTCCATTCTCCGTTAACACCTCTGGATGCCATTTCCGGTACCGTATCCGGTGTAAAGGTTCCAATGAGCACTTTGAGGCTGTTTTGAGGAGTTGAAGGCATTTGGATTCGTCATTTCTGGGTTTCGCCCTTTGTTTTTGTTCCTGGAATTTTCCTTCCCTCTTTTTAAGATTTCTCTCTCTCGATCCCTTTCACTGTCACTTTCGCTCTCTCTCTCTCTCTCTCTCTCTCTCTCTCTCTCTCTCTCTCTCCCTCTCTCTCTCTCTCCCGCTCTTGCTCTCCCGCTCTCTCTCGCTCTCTCTCGTCTCTCTCGATCTCTCTTTCTCTCTCTCTCTCGCTCTCTCTCGCCCTCTCTCTCTCTCTTCTACTCCGCATCTATCTGCGGCTTTACGAGCGAAAATGGCATTCTAGCAGGGGTCATTTGCGAATTCCAACTTTTCCACCGTCAGGCTTCACAAGCTAGCACAGACCCTTGAGGAACGTAGCAAGGCGATCAGGAGTTCAGCTTCCCCCAAACTCATAGATCACTTTTTCCCACTCAAATTCTCGTAAGAAGAGTTTTTCTATGACAGAATAGGTAACTTTGGATGAGTATTTAAAGAGCTGAGGAAGGGCCGGGCCGCCGGATGAATTATTCGCCTGAATTATGCATCAAGCCCCGCGCTGCGCTGCTCGGAACAGCGGAAGTACTTCTGGACTG